AGTGGTAGGGGAAACCGGAGTACCCGGAGGAAACCTACGCAGACACGGGGAGAACATGCAAACTCCACTCAGAAAGGCCCTGGTCCGACCGGGATTCGAACCCAGGACCTTCTTGCTGAGAGGCGAGAGTGCTATCCACTCAGCCACCGTGCCGCTTCCATCTAACCGCTCAGTCTCTGCTTTTTATATGAACTTGTGTTTTGTTTGTGTCTGTTTTTTAATTAAAAAACATTATTATTTCCAGCCACATACAAAGCATCTTCCATTTAGTCCACTGCCTTTCCCAAATGCTTCCATGATGGGCAGGAAATCTTCATCCAACGACGTGGTTAGTGCTCGAATATGACGCTGAGTCTCAACTGGTTTTTGCACCTGACAAAACTCGGAGCGGGTCTTGCATTAGTTACCATGACGACGACAGGCTGTGAGTGTGAGTTTATTCTGGTTGACAGCTCGACTATTTATTTCTGCCACAGCACTCAAGTGAGTCACCTGCTCAGTGGGCAGGTTGGGGATCACTTCTTGTTAGCACTTTGCTGCACTGGGCGTCTGCTTTCTACAACCAACCTCTGAACATTGTATTACTATTGATTTTGCTCTGTCCAGTAAAAAGCCCAAAGTGGACTCCAGCCTTTAAAGCGTCGGCATCAAACAACATGTGGTCCTATTTAACACTATTTAAAATGTTCCCTTGCAAACTACATCTCTCCCAGTCTGCTGCAGCCTTGAAACCACAAATAACATCGATATATTACAGAAGGCTCTACAGTCTTCATTCTCATGTGCCCAAAAACACACTTGGCCTTTACCTCACACACTTGGGGTCAGGTGACAGAGGTTATATAACAACACTCACCTTTCATAATGACACCTGAACACGTTTGGGCTTTGGCTCATGCAGCTCTTTCCTTTGACACCATTGTGTAAACACAATTTCTCTTTTTCTCATCTTCCCTTTTTTAGTCTGGTGCTAGTTTTGACCCCTGTATTTTTGAGACATTCTTGTCTTAGCTTGTGGTGAAATGCTGACACAGGTCCAAACAAAAGTTACAAAACAAAAAGGTCCAAACAAAAGTTGCCTAAAGATACAAATACAGTTAGCACTTTAAAGCCGCAGCTGCCCCAATCGTCACTGTACAGTTTTACGTACACATGGTCAATGGCTGCTAAATGTTATGAACGAGCCGCGTGGGCTTCTTTGGATGAGCCCTGCGTCACTCTGCTCTCAAAAAGATGTTCTAAACCATGTATGAGAAAACTAGTCTTGTGCAAGATTTAAATACTTATAATTCTAATACATGAATTTGCTCTCAAGCATATTTGGACTCTGAAAACAATCATTTTGCATTGGAATTTTCTCTTGAAATTCTAAAAAGATAAAATTAAGAATAAAGTCTCCACACAGTTTCTATTATAAAATCAGATGGTCTGTGAGGAAGTTTTCTGTGGGAACCACTTGAATCTGTAGAAAAGGCAAAAAATGTTGAAGCTGGATCGGGAATGCAAACAGGAAGTGTCCTGTGTTGTGGTGAATACATGAGTGCTCTGCAGTCTCGTAGCTGACGATCCATCACTGACTCTGGAGTCGCATCAATCTATGAATCTCATCCCTTCTGCAGCCAAAGCCAAATCTACAGCACAAGCCATTGTCAGAGTTCAATTCAATTATTCACATCATATACACTCTTTGTATTAGAAACAGAAATGTCTCATATTTAAACTTTAGTAGAGTAAAACCTTGAGAACTGCCTATAATAAGGTGATGTGTGGTCACAAGGTTCTAAGAGTTATTTCACGTCTCTGTAAGTCTCTGTAATGTTTTAGGTTTCCAATGATTTGATCAAAATTTAATTTATTTGTTTATTCACGGCACAAAAGATACTCTATGTCTTTTTACATTTTTTTACATGTTTGCACATTTGTGCCATAAGCGACATGTGCATTTCTACATTGTGAGAACATTATGGTTTTATCGTATCGTTCATTGTGAGGTCACATATAATTATTTTATAACTGCAGAGCAGACATGTGACATGTATTGTCGAGTGCTGCTTGTTCTTGGAACACTGATGAAAACAGTGCATAAAACTTCAATGGTAAGAAGTGTGTTCATTTACGGCATTGATGATCTTATTTCATCAGTAAACCCACAGAGAGGTACTTTTTTCTTTAGAGTTTATAGATCTTCAAATAATCAAAAAGCTCAGAGTTTAGAGGCAGAAAATCTCCAAGCAGGAGCTCATCTTTTGGTTGAACTTCAAACACAAAATAAAAGAAACATTGCACACAATCTACTCCTTATAGATGTTGGAATCTACAATGTATATTCAACTGATGGTTTGATTAAATGATTGAGTTATTTGATTTAAAAAAAAGTGTGCAATTTTTATTGCCTCAATTATTGAGTCAATCTTTTTAATGACTTAAAACCATGTGACACTATTGTTCAAATATATTGGCAACACTTGTTTTTACACAGCAGTTTCAAACGTCACTCATACTGCAAACAACAATACATTTTATTTCAGGTACGAACACCTTGGATGAATGAGTAAATTATCTAAAATGTATGTGTTGTGTCAAAAGTTTAAATGATGATGAAGTATTGATGATGATAGTACTATTTGATTGATTACTACTTTACAAGGTAAGGGACATCAGGGAAAACATATCACTGTTGTCTTTGTTGTTGTTCAAATTTGATTATATTAATTTTTCCTTGACTTATATCTGCACACAGGCTGGAGCAAACACATGTTAAAGAAAATGTTGCATATTTAAGCCAACCATTGTGACGACACATCCAGCCTGTCCCTGGCTCAGGTTGTTCTGCAAAACTGTGAGTTTAGGAAAAATAACAAATTCTCCTCTTCAGCCTCATGATCTGTTTTATTTATTAATTGATTTATTTCAGGGACAGTGCATAGTAATGAAAATGTTCCGTAAATATGCCAAAAGGATATTTTTGTAATTTGATCTTTACATTTTTGCCACAGGCCTAGAAACTTCCTTTACTAGTATAATTGATTGCTGCAGCCCTAGTTACATCCATATCCATCCAATACATCCCTGACTTCTAGACCTCTAGACTGTTGCTCTGTTTTACATTAAGGCAACAGTCTTTGTGTAGAATATTGCTATAGAAAGTTAAGGCGTGGGCTGTGCTTCATTGTTGATTAGAAGCAATTTTGTTCCCATTCTCTGATAAAAATCAACAAACAAAAGGTTAACAATCTCCAGGGAGAAGGGCATAATAAACACAAAACACTGAAGGGAATGGGGTCAGGTCATCCACAAGCGAACAATAAACCTGGGAAACATGATTTCTATAAAAATGACTCATACAGGACATAGGTCTTATTATTTTGAAGAATAAACAATACACATTGGGGTCATTCAGAAGAAACGCATGTCAAATACTTGATTACAGTGCCCTCTAGTGAATACATTATAAAATTACTACATCCCGAAAGTATAATATCAACAAGAGAAGCCCAGAAATGTATGAAAACGGTAGGCCTGTTGCAAAGGCGATAGGGAAGTGCTCGTGGACAAAGTTTTGCTTCTAGTCGCTCTGGCTTCGGTTGCCTTACAGTGAAAAGTAAACTCCTCTCGCTCAATAACCATTTATGTCACAGTCATCTTTCGGCTTAAATCCGTGGTGTAGTGCTCTCTATGATCCTGGAGTTTATATTTTGATAGTCTTTGTAAATACAGATAAAAAGTTATATTAGCATGACCTGCATAAATATCCCGTCAGACCTCTAAAGTTAAACAGGGTAGGACCTGGTTTGAACTATTTTTATTTATTTGGTTGGTTATTGGGGTGACAGTGGCTCAGTTGGTAGAGCATTGGCCTTAGAGCCTGAAGACCAACAAGGCCTACTTCACAACTCCCACTGATGACTGCTGCCGTTATGTCCTTGGGCAAGACACTTAACCCCACTTTGACTCACCACCTGCAGGAGGATCAGTGAGAGGCTGGTGCTCTGTGTACTGGGTGCAGCTATGACTGCCACCCCCCGACCCAGAAATGGATTAAGGGGAAGAAGATGGATGGATGATTGGTTATTATTTTTATTACAAGGATTGATCAATCAGGTGTCTTCATTCTCGAGGGACACAGTGTTCCTAGCATGTTTTGGAGCTAATGCTCTCAGAACAAATGTCAATATGATGCTGGCTTATGTTCAAATCGTCTATTCTTTTCAAATTGGTTTCTTCAGCATTCGGCAAACACTGTGGTGACTTCATCAGTTAGTCAATCTATCTATAGTATTGGACAAACAAAACAAGGACGTAATCAGGCAAATCCTTAAAGTGAAAATACTTGGGATTTGATTTTTTACTTTATTCAGATATAAATTCAACAACATTTACAACATATTTGTAAAACATACAAAAACAATATGATTCCTATTGTTAGGTTTGTCATAGCAATAACATTTGAATGCAGAAAAGTCTTCAAAAAAAAAAAAATCCAATCAGGAAGGAAAGATTTTCCCAAAGTACATGAAGCCCAAACTGTACATTGACATTTCCAATACACAGTATTGCTCCAGCAGTATGCAGACTCATACAAGTACATAAGTATACTTGATTGTAACCACACCAAACAGGTTTTGTATACATTAAAAAGTACTTTTCCACAATAAAGAACCTGAAATAGGAAAACAAATAGCCACAGGCTAAAGTTGAGAGGCTGTGTATTTGTCATTCAACATACTTCAGCAATTAGTGTATTTCTTCCCCATCTTCTTTGTGGGAGGGAGGGCTACACCAGAAACAAGTTAAAAATATAAAAGTTGGTCCCTGAGATTTACAATAATATAAGTAAAAAGTAAAACATCTGTATAACAGAAATCCTACTATAAATGAGCACAAACAATAATCTACATAAGGCTTTGATAAAGCCTCAACAAACAGTCACTTAAATATTGTCCTTCAGATTGTTCTCTCCCAACAGCTGTAGCGCAATTATTCAAAGTCGCGTGGAAATGCTAGATGTGTTTTCCAGTGAGGAAGAACAGGGGTCGGTCCTCTTTGGAGTTTGCAGTCTGAAACTCATCGCTGAGCCTGAACCTCCACTCCTCCTCCAGCTCCAGTCTGCCCACCGTGTGCCTCAGCGAGCTGCGGTCAGCTCCGATCACACACAGAGTCGCACCTACTCGTACAGAAAACACTTTATTTGGCATCTCATCCACGTGCTCTGTATTCACTTATGTACACTGCATTTTGTTTCTATAATCTCTGAAGTCAAGTCTACCTTTGAGAAAGGAAAACTTCTTGAGGAATGATGGAGACACAAAAGAATCCGCAAAACAGAGCAGCAGGCCACTGAACAGCAGGCCGGTGGTGGTGATGTTGATGGCGTGAGGTCTTGAACTGACAAAACAGACGGTCACCTGCACAAGGGGATTATTAGGAGAGAATAGAAAAAGACCAGAGTTGACTGTGCGCACAGACAGTACCTCAGGTCCCAGGTTCAGGTAACAGTCCACTGACAGCACTGGGTGAGCGTAGTTCTTGATGCTGAGTGGGAACAGCTTGAGGCTGGTGTGCTGGAGGTACTTCTCCAAAAGCAGCTGAGCCGGTGTGGCTAAGAAGAGGTGTTTACTGTCAGGGGCACAGACGTACTGCGACGGCCCCACTGACGTCGGAACATCAGTCATCTGCAAAAGGAAACAAAATGTATTTAGTTTTTCAATAAAACAAACAAACAAAAAACACAGAATGACAAATGTCCACAGATACAAAACAAAACTCAAAGAAACATAGGATTGTTTAATACAGGCATGTCAAAGTCAAATACATCAGAGGGCCAAAAAAACAAATTTGCAGCGAGCTGAGGGCCGGACTGGTTCAATGTTTATTAACTCATTGCCTGCCAGCTTATTTCAGAACAGGTACTCCCATATTGCCAGCAGTTTCTGATGATTTTTGTAGATTTTTCAAGACCCACAGAATATTGTGTACTATGACTATCTGAAATCCGAAACCAGATTCTGAAAGAATAGACTGTCTACTTTCATCAGCAAAAAGAATTTTGTTTCTAGCTTGTAATCCCCAGTTGAGTAGAGGGAAGTTTTACTGAAATCACCAAAAAGCTGAGAAAAAAGAGGCACAACAAGTGCATCTAGCTGTTTTCAAACCATTCAGAGAGCGCTGCTTCCCCCTGCTGGCTCGATTCAATATGCTCTCAAGCTTATCCCCATACATATGAGATATAATAGACATCTGGGAACATGAAAATAGTGGAAAACGCCATTGACGTAATAGTGCGTCAATGTCAGGCAACGGGCCATATAAAATTCATTTGCGGGCCGGATTTGGCCCGCGGGCCTTGACTTTGACACATGTGGTTTAATATGATGTCAATGGTTATTTATTGTTAGGTGGGGGTTACAGCACTTTTACTGCAGCATGAGTAGATTTTTTGTGGATCCCCTTTCGCTGCAATCCCAGTGGAAAGTATTTTGTGGTTTGACTCTGCAAATGTTACATTTTTTCACTTGAATTTAGGCCTGTACTTTGACTGGGCCTTTCTAACACTTGAATATGTTATGTTTTAAGCCCTATATTTGAATTAAACATATTTATGTTTAGGGATATTGTCCTGATAGTAAACATATACTACTTCTTTTCTGACTTCAGCCGCATTTCTTCCAAGATCCTATCATTTCCTCCATTACTATTCATTATTATCAACTCTGCTGAGTGCTGTGTCATTTATCGGCTGATGGTACTTCTGGATTAGACGTGGTACAATTGCAGTATGTGGGGCTTACAGAAGTCCTTATAAAATATAACAAAAACTTTCTCATAAAATCTAATATTTTCATCATACAAGGTCAATTATATAATAAATCATACAGTTATTGCAATTTCACTAATGCATATTCTTCTAAAAATGCTCTCTAAAGTATTGCATTAAGGCTAATACACCATAAACATGGTGTCTTGTCAGATCCGAGGACTGACCTTGGTCTTGATAATGAATGTCCTGTATCCTCCGATGGCGATCTGCTTTTTCATGACGCTGAAGCTGTTGAAGCGACACAGCAGCAGCCCCGCACTGTGCAGCCGCAGCGTGAAGTCCACGTCGTGACACGTGAAGCGCTTCTGGTCGTACTGCACGCTCTGACTGCGGTCCACGTTCAGCAGGAGGAAGTCGTGAAGATGGCCTCGCGAAAACTGACCCATCTGCTTATAACCTGCACCAAGTCAGCGCAATTTACAGGGATGATTGGAATAGTTGGAAATTCTGATGATTCAGATAACAATAACATCATAATGATTTAAATAATGAAATATTAGGAAAAAAGGATTCAAGATGTATCACAGTACCACCTTGATCATCATGCTAATCATAGGGATGTGCATGTGTGTGGATGTTATGAGGGTATGTATGTAATCTTTGTGTTGCTTCTTGTTGTAATTTTTGTGTTGCTTGTTTAATTGTTGGTGTATGGTTTTGTTTTATTGTTTGTACTTGTTTATTGTAAACGACAGTGGCTCAGTTGGTATTTGAGCCTGAAGGACGTGGGTTCGAGACCTTCTGCACCAACTCCCACTGATGTCTGCTGTCATTGTGTCCTTGGGCAATACACTTAACCCACTTTGCCTACAAGGAGCACGGAAGTGATGTTCGCTGCTTGCCTTGATGTGTATGTAATATGTGTATGCATCAAACTGAAATTTCCCCATTGTGGGACGAATAAAGGACCTTCTTCTTCTTCTTCTTAATAATAAAAATACTTTAATAATAAAATAAAACAAGACTATGCTTATATTTTATTGAGTGAATTATTGAAGTATGCAGGTTTAAAATGTGTTTGCTGTAAATTGTCAAATCTGCTGAGTGTTACATCTTCAGTTCTGCAACTTGATCTGTGAATTTTAACATATTTTCTCTTCACAAACTGTGGCTTTTTTATTCCATCATAAAAGTCCACGCTTTATCCATCACTACACTTGATAAATCTGCATGTACCTGGACACATTCTTGAAAAGATAACAAATAAATATAAAAATGCATGTTTGTAGCTTCATACTTGTCAGTCCATGGCTGCTCCACTTCCTGATCCCACAGAGACTGTAGTGCGTGAGGTCAGGACAGGCCTCCATGTGCTGTAAGACCTGCTTCAGCGACACACTGTGCTCCACCGGGACACTGACAACACCACAGCCACGCTTTAACACCTTCAGTTGAATAAGTTCAAGACAATAAAACAAACGAAGCAGACGTACTTGCGCGCATCGACGTCCACAGCGTTCCACATGACGCAGGAGTCGTCTGCCAGGATGATGAAGGGCCACACGTCTCCTGTGGGACCCGCGCCCTCCGACCGCCGACTGCGCTCCAGCTCAAGGTTGTGATACGAGAGCTCTTTGATCAGGAAGTGAGCTGCGCCTGCAACAGTGACGTGTATGTATAAAAATATCTTGAATTACCTATTCAGTACATTCTATTAAACATGGCCCTGGTGAATTCGTTCAATATTCCTTTGATAGAAATTCTTGATTGAAAATGAAAACAAAACTAATGGATTTTCTTTTTATTGTGAACACAGCAGCACATGCTATAAATATATGTGAGGGGCTGTCAACAAAATGGAACAGCACATTTCAACATTGTCATATTTTACTGTAGTTTCCACCGTGGACCTGTGTATTTATTGAAAATAATGGAAAAAACATGGATATCCTTTTCCTTGTATCAACAGTGTGTATTGCTCTAAACTCAAATAAACATGAATCTGAATCTTTTTTTTACACTTCCGATTAGTACAACTAACATTAGAATAAACCTATTTCTCATGCACATGTCCTGTAGAACTAAACTACTAAACTTACACTATAAGACCTTGCACGTGGGTTCTAACAGGGTATAAATCCAGTTTAGAGCCTGGATTCATACACGAGGCCCGTATTAGTGATTGCAGATGTATGGAGGTCTACGTACCTATCCCAGCTCCATTGAAGACAGTGGGCAGAATCAGCATGATGTGGTTTGGCCAGTACTTCTTATAGACAGCCATTTCATACTCCTTCACCACCAAGATGTGCAGATGCGAGGCTCCATCCATGGCATGAAAAAGGTTAAACAGGCCATGCTCATGTCGCCCAGTTGTCGGGGTAAAGATGGGACTCTTGATGCTGTCTGGACTCTGAAAAAGTTTAAAGAAACAAATAGTATTTTACTTCATCATACCATGAATAAAGTGAGAGTTCATAACTACTAACTAGCAGTTAGCAGCTTATAGCCATGTGTGTACTGACACCTAGTGGACAAATATAAGAGTTGCCATCTCCTTTTGTTTTACTTTACTTTATAGTCACAAAGACAACATTTTAATTTATGTCTATACTATATACTTCAGGTTCAGGAAATGTGAGAACAGGTATCGTTAGATATATGCCCAAATACTACAGGAAAAAAAGACTTCAACAAATTCATATTGGATACAGATTAATAGTGCATAAGGTCTCCCTGAAATCCCTTTTCACTATGACATTATAAAATTGTGGTTTTCTACTTATACTTTTAAAAAATACCTGTATTTTTGTGTCACAAATACATGACAGACCAGAAAGTCTTGTTTCAGTAAAAGGATGTAAACAAATCAGACTGTCTTCATCTTATTGGTAATCCTTTTATCTTTGACATCCTCAGAGCTGATTGGCTGAGTGAGTGTGGTCCTCTCTTTTTCTCTTTCCTGTCTGAAAAAGCTGATCCAAAGATGTGATACAGGCAGAAAAATAGATGCATGTGAAAACTAGTGACAGGAACCAAAGTGTTTAGAGAGCGAGGAACTAGTTACTTCAGATTTAATTTCAAAGTTAAAACATTTTTGCGGTGTGCAAGTTATGCACCGCAGCTTTAAGTAGATTTTCCTGTAATACTTTCAATGAGGTTTCTTTTGTAACTGTGTCTACTTAACTGGCAAACGCAAGAACTTCTTCCACTCAGGATTGTTGTATGAATAGGTTTAGGGCTAAAACATACCCAGTCAGAAGCCAGCGGCAGCCTCATGCCCTCCAGCTGCCCGCCGTGTTTGTTGAAGCTGAAGTAGTGCTCTTTTGACTTTGGTATGATGAAGTACAGCTGGATCTCCTCCCCGAGCATGAGGTGAGTAAATGTGAAGGCATGCAGAGATGACTCATATATCTGACAACATAACAAGTCAGGTAAAACATTAGGTTGATGCATGATCTGTTAGTGTGTTTGAATGTTTGTGCTGACCTGGTATCTGGGGTTGAAGCCTAAATACTGATGACATTGTTCACAGTGGTGGTACGTGTTGTAAGCCGCATATTTGGACAGCTTGATTCTGGAGGTTCTTCTGCGCAGATACATATCTTCCTGCCGCAGCGGAGGTCCTTTGAAGAGCGGCAAAAAAAGAGTCAGCACACGAACACAGAAGAAAAGTCATGGTGAAGCACAACGCCTTACTGTCTGTGCTGGGGCTGAATCCAGGACAATACACAGCACTGATGTCCTCGTATTTTGGGTCATGGATGTTATAGTCAAAGGGCATTGTTTGCATCACATCTGTCTTTGGCCAGTGTGCATTTGATGAGTGGCATTGTGCTGCTTCTGCCTGGAAAACTAAAATTAAAATATGTTTAACAATGTTAGAAGACATGTGTATAATGAATGATAAAACCAAACAGTAAGAAGTGTGTAATTAAAGTAAGAATGTGACTTACAGCAGTTAATGTCCTCTTCGTCATAGATGTCCACTTCCATTAGGCGGATCAACATCCGAGACAAAATACCCAGAAAGTGAAGATATGCACCTGTCTTACCCACCTGGAAGTGCACGAGCAAATCAAATCAATTCACGCACAATAATAACAGCAGTTGTCTTGAAAAACAGTGATTATTCTAAAACACTGTCTTTTCCACAGGTTTAGTGTCCAAATTAACGATGAATAATTATAATAATGTACCTGGGGTGGACCGCTGAGCAGCAGGCGGCGTGGGTGGAAGTTGTCACATCGGCTTTCTGTGCGATTGCTGGTGTCCATGTGATAAGAGCGAGGGACAGTCCACTGCCGGTAATACAGAGACTGCTCTGTGCACGTCATCATCTTACTCAGCAAAGGCCTGGCGAAAGAAAAGAGGTTTTTACTAAGATGAAAGCTAACAATGACCTTAGTCAGGCTAAAGAGTTTCTGAAGATAAATACACAGATCTTGATTTTGTAAGACTTCTTACAAAAGCAAGTGAGCAACAAAGTGCCAAAGTTTAAATAACGATGGTAACTATCAAAAATCAGTCTTCTATTCTGTAATTCCTGAGCAAATCCACGTGAAACAAAAACACATATCTTCTTTATCAGTGCATCATACTAATTATGTTCTCTAAAAATGTGTCTAGAAGGGGTGATGTTATTCCAACAAACATGATGTTGGCTATGGAGAGGACATGCAGACTAAAGAATGATAAGGTGAGATTGTGAATCCAATCACACACAAAAAATGATCTGTAGAACTATTTTGACATTATCTTTTATCAGTCCCATAGAGATGTATTGGCACCTACATCCCTCCAACTGAAATTGATTTCAGCAAGAAAACAACTTAATGAAGGGTTAGTCGTTTAAAATATTCAGTCATAGTGGTGGTCATTTTGAAGGTGGTTGCCTCATGCCACGCGGATAACCTCAATTCCAATTTGCTTACACAATAACAGTACCTGAAGCTGCTGGCCCACGCTACAGATATATGCGGTAGAAAAGTTGTGCATCGAGGCAGGCCGCTGCTGTCGCTGGCTGTGATGACATCATAGAGGGCACGGGGGAGGAGCACCGAGGGAGGCCGCGTCACCCCACGAGCCCAAGAGCAGCTGAGATTAGGGGAGGAGGATCGCGAGTCTGGAGAGCTGGATTTGGACTTCTGGCACTGAGGCGGGACTGGCTGAGCTGTCTGGGCTGAGGCCACGGCTGCAGCAGGGGCCAGCGGCTGTATCTGGGACTGAGGCTGAGAAGGATACGGAGGCGGGTGAGAGGTGGAGAGAGACTGTGATGATAGCTGTGGAAGAAGTTTGGTTTGAGATGGTGCAAGGGTAAGCACAGTGTCCGGTGATCCCTTTTGGATTGATGAGGAGCTTTGACAGGGCGAAGGGTCTGCGCTATCGCCACATGACTGAGTTCGAAGGTTGGATGACAAAGGGGAGTTTTCTGTAAAAGAATTCTGAATGAGCATCAAAGTCGCAGTCTGTTTCTAAATACTCACTACTTACCGCTGTCTTGACCCTCGTCCTCTTCGTTCTCGGAGCTGCTCAGTTTTTCGGCATCGCTCTCCAGGGAGTCGCTTCTGGGGCCGTTGTTGTTTGGTGGTCGAGAGTCTGTCTGCACAAGGTAAGCGGCCAGTCCCAGCTCCTGCTCTAGGGTCGTGCGCTGAAGGTAGGAGCAGCTTATCACTCGAAGGTCACAATACTTCAGGGACCTGCAGGGTAAAAAATATAATCTCAGAGATCATATACACTCATGTTTACCGTAAATGTTCTTCCACTTTTCTGAGTCATCGCACAGTGATTGTAGTCATTTTTTCTTATGTACTTCTAAATGTGTTTTAAACAGTTTTTCCAATGTGGTTTTACTGCAATTGGCAAATAAATTCTTGAATCTTGTGTATTTGTACTGTCTTTGGTTTAAAAAGGATTTACAAAATGACTTGAATCTTGAAATAATAATATTTCATATATTTTGTTTATTTTGGATTGCATACCTGGGTAATGATTCTCCAAGTGGCTCAGCTCCTGATAATATCAGTATACAGGGAAGAGCCTCTAGTTCTAGATATGTGCGTGGGACCCACTCAGGCTCTTCGATCTTGAGCCAGATCTGTGAGAGAAAAATATTCATATGACTTAGGAGGTTCATCTGTCTTTCAGAAAGAAAATGTGAGCAAATAGTTTAAAAGATTTGTTTCTGTCTGGAAGATACAACTTTGGAAAGAGCAGGATGATTCTTTCAAATGTTCGAGTTCAATTCACATGGTTAAACAAATCTTTAAGACCAATGTCAAAGAAGATACTAATACTAAGATACTAATTCAAAATAATTGTGATGTTTATCTTCATTGTTGGTACATATATTTAGCCAACATATGAGTGTAATGATATTGGAAATATGTTCATGTGTATGTGTGTATAAATGAAGTTATGTATGACGTGTTGATGTCCAGCAGATTAGCTACGACTTGTAAAACTGATTAATTATATTATATTTATTATATTTAGGGGGAAAACAAGAGTTAAACTTCAGCCTGAACCCTTCCATTCTTTAAATTGTGAATGTGAGTTGGAAATGTTTCTCTTCTTTTTGTTTAACAATGATCAAAGAAATAAACTAAACTAAACTAATATAAAAAGTTAGAATATTACACACATAAAAAAGGGAGAATTAAGGGATATTTACCTTAATTCGGTCAATAAAAGTTTGCCCAATATTGAGTGAATGGTTGGGATTTCCGAGGATGATTTCAAAGCTGTCCTCCAGACCGAGCCGTCTCCTCACGCGGGATAAGCGCTGGTGGGCCCAGGCCGCAAGAGCCAGAGAGGGGATCCTCAGCAAAACCATGTGTCCGTGGTGAGCAGGGCACTGCTGAGCCGCGCTGAGCAAAGACTGGACAATCTCCAGGGTTTCCACAGACGTGTGTTTGTGAAGATTATGGGAACTGTTAATTCTACCAGACGCAGCCATCAAAGCAATACAATAATGCTGGATCAAAACAATGGTGCGGATGACAGCGCTGTGCAGTTTGGGAAACCTGGGAATAAGGTAGTTGTTGAGTTAATGAGAAAAGTTATGCAACTACTGAAACATAATTTACACATAGTGCATTATATACATAAGATTTGAATTATACCTTTCTTCAAGAGCTGTGGCCATGCTTTCAAACGAAGAGTCGTATCGCATCAGTGGGAGGCTTCCTCCTGAACGTGCTGATTCTATAAGCTCGGATACACCAAAGTACCTGGTTCTTTCATGATACAAGTCCACATCCTAAACACACAACACAGTTACACACATGCAAATATTAGAAATGTATTCAGGCTCACCAGGGAGTTTCTTTTTTTCCCTCAAATATCAAAACTGAACAAATAATGAAAACTACTGATGGGTAAATAAGGGAATTAGGACAAACATTTTTGACTCCTATTGAGCACTTAATAACCTGCTGTCTTGGAGCAGTCAGAGATGCACATAGCGCTTTGTTAATAATGTGAGTTTTTTAAATGATTGTGAAAACATTGATTAGAGAAATACAAGTATACAAATAATAATTGTTTACAGTAATAATTGTTTACATACATTGCTGAACGCAGAAGGCCAGTGGATTTCATTGTACGGGCTGATGCGGGTGTACTGTGTCTGCAGGGAGAATGGGAATGACGTCACATGCAGAATCAGGATATTTGGAGAATCTCGAACGTGTCTTGAATTGATGAGCTGGTCCACCAGACCCAACCCACAGTCCGAGCCGCTGTAGGTAGCACTATAAGACATCATATTGTGTAAATTATGATTCACCCATCTCTTCTTATTTTTTGTATTTTGTGCCCACAAACCTGCTGACGTCCCAATGGGCGTGGTCGTGTATGAGAATGTACAGTGTGTAGGAGTTACTGTGAGCCTCCTGGATGAGTCTATCAATTTGAGCCTGAGCACTTCCATCCATCTTGACTACATAGCGCTCAACGTCCCGCGGACATACACACTCCTGGTCAATCCCACTGAGCTCCCGAAGAACACCTTACAGAACAGAGGCAATGTGTATATGGTTAGATATTAGGGGAAATGGGCAGGGGCATAAGGCATAAACCAAAATCGTCTGAACACTCTAAAACTAAAAAGCAAATGTGCATATGATTATGGGATAAAGAATTATCAAAATTCTACATCATACGTATTTCACATTTCTGTAACCAACCAGAGCTCCAGAGGTGCAGCACGGTCTGCTGAAAGGTGACCTCAGAGGGCGGCACCAGGATGAGGAAGCTGACCCTGTCAAACGAGCCCAGGTCCAAGTTTTGTGTGCTGGAGTCTGCAATGGCGCACACGTGGGACAGGAGCTTTCTGGCCACCGCCAACTGGATGGGACGAACCTCACGCCACTGAACAAAATATTCTAAAAATATGAAAACACAATTATAGAATGGAAACAAAAAAGCTTGAAAATGGTTAGTAAGGAGCATAAGTCCCTCACCGGTGCAGATATCCTTCAGGCTGTTGACTCTCTCCTTGCCTCGTGGATCTTTTGAGTGTGCCCCTGGGGGATCCTTCTGTCCATGTTTGTCTTTTGGGCTGGGAGTGTTTTTCAGGCTCTTTGCAGATGCCTCTTGATTGTTTTTTAAAGGAGATGACTCCATTCCATCAAATGTGGCACAATTTAGAATTGAGTCCATATCACCATCTGAAAAGAAAGCCACGTGCCATTAACTTTACAGCGACATACATAAGATTGAGAAGAAAAAGGTGGAAACACAGACCTTGTCCCAGGCCATTACAATATTGGATAAGCTCCTGGGCAAAACCAGTAGACAGCTGCTGGTTGATCTCTTTAAGACCTTCAGTAGGAGAAAACATACTTTCGGCCAAAGCACGGCATTGGTGTTTACCTGTAATCAATAGACGGTAACATAACTATTGATGAATATTGGTTTAAACATACAAAGGCTCAGAGCATTCTTACCTGTGACAACAACACAAGACTGAGTTTCGAGTCCAGGTCGAGTGACAATGATGACCACGTAGCTTGTGTTCTTAAGTTGTCCGTCCATCAGTTTGCTAAATGTTAACTGCAGACCTTGAGCCAAAGATGTACCCTGCAGCACAACCAGGCCCTCCCCACAGGATGAAGCAGCCAGCTGGGCCAGCCATGGAAGCTGGCTGGGGGTCAAGGGTTGTTGGCCTTGTGGTGAAAGGGACAGATGCTGTGGAATCCCAGACAATAGCGAGGAAGCCTAAAATGGATTCACAGGATTGGAATAAATGCCTAATGTTTTATCTATGATTCAGACTACATCATATTTATACCTCAGTAATTCTGAAGGAAATGCTCCACTCACCTCGAGACCATAATGCCGGACCTGTGCGGCGGGTGTCTGCGGCTGCTGGTACTGTCGAATTTCACTGAGATGAGACTCCCTCCATGATCTCATGAATATCTGCTCCAAATCCTCAATTAGAGGAACTTGTTCAGGACCTAAGAAATAAACGAAAAAAAAATTCAGGGAAAATACTTATAAATGAAATATGAAGTTCTGATATATCACATGTTTATCCTACCCAGTTGAACAAGGTAGTAGACTGTAAGTAGAATCTGCATCTCGGTGGACAGTGGCTGGATGGGTGACGGCCCGTAGTGCTGGTAGACTCTGGGCAGAGTTTGAGAGCTCAGATAACAGCTGTGCAGCAGAGAGCTCACCAGCGTGTCACAAGTGTTCCCAGTAAACGGAGGAAGAGCCCCATGACCTGACAAACAGAAAAACAGAAATATTTTAAAACACAAAACTGACAATTCACATTTTCTTTTCAAGAATCAAGTTAATTCCATTTAATATACATAAATATAAATTGTCCAAGTTGTTAAAGTTGGTATTTGTATGTATATTCCAATCAAATATTTGCACATTGTTATAAATATCAATAGCATGTTGTGTGGACAACCTTCTTGAATTTCTGAGGCCTCCCAGTCGTCCCTGGACCCCACTTTGGGAATCACTAATAGACATATTACTTACTACTTTGTACGGCCTTTTAAACTGTTGTTTGCATTTGTTCACTTTAAGCAGTGATATCGTTTGTAATCACTGATATTATATCTATTACGTTTTTATTTCCTTTAAACTTTATCTTATTACTTTACTGGTGTTTATGGAACATCTTGTTTGTATGCACCAGGATGCGGAGGGGCACTGGTGTGTGTGGTGTGGGCTGGTGATGTGGTAGGGCTTTCATACAGGTGTCACAATCTTTCCCACTCCACTGCCACGATTGAAACTGATTTGTATATAAAGCTTGTATATGAACACTAACACTATGATCAATTTAACCAAGTGATAATATTTTACTGGTAAAAACATAAAAAATAAAAATACAAAAAATGCAAAAATAGAAATTGTGGTTGAATGAAATTGGCTGAACGTGGCCTGTCACCGGTGCGGTAGGATGTGTGCAGTTCTGCCTCGGGACTTTTGTGCGTCGCTGGTTTGTTGCTGCTCTGGTGCCTGCTGTGTGGTGCTGGGGTCACTGGCTCCAGACACATGGGTGAAAGTATGTTGATCACAGGCGTGGGAATTTATAAGATTCTTTCTTCCTCCCACTCCTTTTCGAGTTTGAATGACGTGCAGTATAGTAATAAGTATTTTTAAATGGATGATTTGTTGGAAAGTGTATTGACGTCTGATACTAAATGTTTGATTTGATTTAATTGCCATTAAAAATAAACGCTCAACTCAACCCAACCATTATATGCATCATTTGAGTTATATCACATTTTTGGCAATCATAAGTAAAAAACATGCATCACATCATTTGCAACTGGTTACAAACAGCATCAAGGCCTTAACCACGTTGCTTCATGTTTGCAAAGGTAAAATACTGACAAGGTTCTCACCACCCTTCTGCGAGGGAGCAGTGGCGGTGTGCACTCACTCATGCACACACACATGCACACACTCATGCACACACACATGCACACACTCATGCTCACACACAAAGACGCACAGTCCTCCACTGCTCTACAGCCGTCTGTCAGTGCTCTTTACCTCCCACATTTTTTATGACTAATTTTCCCTATTTAATTATATTTTAAGTTTAATTTTAATGTAGGTTTCTGAGTTTGCAGGGTGGATAATTCAAGTTAACAGGACAGTGGCTTTTGGAGAGGTCCTCACCTTTGAAGACCACTGGTTGTAGCCTTGCGATGTGCAGTAGCTCATCAGGAACTATCACTGAGAGCCCAGGCACAGGCACCGAGGGCAAAGGGGCCGGTGAAGAATTAAGCAGCGTTTCTATTTCTGAATAGAAATTGAACATACAATCAGAAAGTAAACATATAAACAAACTGATGTACACATAATATAGAGTACTGGTTTTACCTGCTCGGACTCCATTTGTGATTTGTGGAACTGCTATCTGGGTTGATGGTTTAGCTGCGTTCTCTGAGACTGTATTTGCAGATGAGGAATCAGGGGACCATCCCTTATGCCTTTTTTTAGGTGGACCAGAATTTGTAGGAACAACTAAAATACATCAAAATATATAGGGTTAGGGTTACAAACATGAATAAGCTTTTCTTTGGTGAATATAGAAAAAAATATATTAAATGATCCTCATTCTGCCAATTATTTCTAATACTTTCTTAACATAAAAGACACAAACACACACACACACGTCCAGAAAAAAAACCAAATACATAATCTGCACAGCTCAAAATAATACCGTACTAAAACTAAACTTGACTTAAAGGCACTTTCCTCATCTCTCCTGGTGATAGCATTCTTTTTGCCTGTTGTAAGGATTTAGGCAGACAGAGACGGATCGTGGTGTGCCAAACTCTGGAAGTTTATTTAAGTTGCTCTCAAGTTCCACTGTTTTACTCTGTTTCTTTCCCTCAGACAGAATAAAGGCAGTACACAGTTTATATAGTCATTGTCACGTCACACATCGAAAGACATACGTGTCACAAAGAGACAGTCAAATCATAGTCATAACATGGAGTCCTTGTAGAGTCCTTGTACAGTCCTGCACGTAGGCCATATTGCTATCTAATACTAACACTGTGTTTATATAAACGTTGTATGTGTACTATATGTATACAGTTTGTCATTAAAATTTCCTTTTAAACAACTATAACTACACTCATGTTACAAGTTATATCTGTGGAGAGAGTCTTGCCACTGTAAAAAATCTTGTCACTCTAAATTTGAGGTATGTACACGTTTTAAATCCATCTGAGCAACATTTCAATAAAAGCAAAATATATACATCACAAGAAGCAGGTATTGGACCTCTTCAGAAAGTGGGTCACCACCATGACCACCAGAACCAAATCAATTTGACAAGTGAAATGTGAACAAAAATCAGCTAACGCTAAAACATAATAATGCACCGTTATTTTTTTAAACAGTAGATTGCAAGGATGAAGAACCTTTGATTCCTAAATAATCCTGCTGCCATCTTAGAATTTCTCTTGGATTCATTAAGTGGTAAAACAGCACACTTATACTAAATACAAACATATACAAAATATATACAATACTACAAAATATATACAATAATACAAAATGTAGCTGGATATGTCATTGAATATCAAGATCAAATGAGGAACTGAGCGAACATCTCCCACATACAAAAGAACATCATCTGATATATTGAAATGTAGTGTTTTGTGCCATTGACTTCAATTGCAGACCTTATCAGATACATGAATAACTATTGAAAGAGCTGTATAGGACTGAAATCACGGCAGCCTGTCGCTGCTTTGATCTGAGCCGCTGCTTTATGGAAGTGAGAATGCAGTCAAAGTCTCAAATTGTCATTGTGTCTGTTTTTACTAACAATGACTCAACACAGTGAGTATCACGCCATGCCTTTACATCACATAAATAACAAACTAAAGGTGTAAACAGGACTAACCTGTGGTCGTAGCTCTCCCAGGACCAGCCTGGTTTAAAGATGTAGGATTAAGAGGTGGAACTAGATCACTACCATTTTGTAGTGAGTGAGAAGCATCAGCCGACTGATTCACTTGATCCACGTGTGAGCCTAAAAAACACAAGAAATGCTCAACATATTCATAATATGATTAAAATCTATATCTATAAAGAGATCTATTCTATACTGTATATTTACTTTTAACTGAGCTGTAGTATTACCTGTGTAGCCAACTGTTTGATGAGTGAGTGCCACATTTGATGGTGGCACACCCACTGTGATTTGTCCCTCAAAGAAGTTTGACTCCAGCTGTCTGACTCTGCCATCTGAAAATGCAACACAAAGATAAAGTGGGTAATTATGTGTTTACAACATAAACATAATTTGTGCTTCATATTTCACCATTGACCAACATGCTCCTTACTAGCTGACCAGTTCGCACATAAAGTGTTGTGTGTACACTTAAAATAAGACAAAAGCTGTTCTGGTTCTTATTAGAGTCTGTGACACTCACCATGGCCTTTCCAGCAGATGGGAGCCCCTTTGACCAAGACGCCATTGGTATTCCGAAACAAATGATACTTTAAGTGCTTCTGTTTTTTGGGTTGCGTGCTCAGCTTCAGATTAATGTGGTTCGCAAACTCAGTAAAATAGCGGAAGCCCTGCTGTCCACAGCCCATACAATTCCCAAGAAAACCTAAAAAGGAAATTTGAGCTCCAGATTTTTGTATGACATTTTTATGTTTAAATATTTCTGCTTTCTCCTTCTCACCCAGCAGTGCATTACAGCCCTGTTCATCCGGCAGAAAGCGGTGGTCTACAGCACACACCAGTACGTTATCTTGAAGAGACTGAGATTTGACTCCGACTAGAATGAATCCAGAGGGTACATCTAGAGGAGCTGATGCCAAAGATGCCAAACGGAGATCCCGTCCTGCCTGACAGAACCCTGCACCAATGACACAAACAATCATTACGATTGTACGTTCTTTTGATAATAGTGGAACGTACCATCTGTACCATCTGTGGTGCAGGAGCCTTCGGGAGCAGGCTTCATCTGATAGGGAAGAGGAGGGCTGTTCGAATCAGAGCCCTCTTCTTCATCATCATCATCATTGTTTCCTGCTCGACCTGATATTGTTAACATTGCAGTTCATCGAACATAATTTCCTCTCACTACACTACGGTGTTATTATGGATAGAAACCTACCATTTTGTGTTGGTGGCCGCTCAGTCTCCAGATACAGCTGTGCAAACACTGGCCGAGGCACTATTGTGTTGGACCTGAGAGAAGCTTCGATTGAATTATGAAGGACCTCCTCAAAGCGCGTGGTCCGCAGCTGGCCCGCGTAGGAGTTCCCCATTGGTGCCCTGTGAACAAAGATGAAAATAGACACAAGAATTATAAAAATCCATCACTTCAGACTCATTAGAATAGAGTATCCAGAATCCATGCTGGATACAGACATGATTCCAGGCTCTTGTGGCTGACACAGATATACTGTACAGTAGTTACTGGGGCCCAGCTCCTGTCCACACCGCACATCCATAAAATCAGACGGAATAACAGAGTCAGGGCACCCTGACCTGCCGCAGACACTACTCCCTGTGTTTTTCCTCTCCAGCATCGCTTGTCTCTTCACTCTGCTCTACTCATAAATTCTCAGCCACTTAGAAAAGACTAAAGCACTTCTTTATGGCAGCTCAAACTTCATGTATCAGTCTTTATGATGACTTTTACCTTTTTTTGACTTTATTACCATTTTTACACATTACTATACATATCTTAGTGGTGTTATTAGACAAGGTGAATGAGATACAACATGCATTAGGTTGGTGTAATAACATGCTATCAGGCGTAGGACTCTATAGTCTTGTATGTGAGAAAAATCAAAAAGTAACTTGAAATGCGGCATAATGATTTGAGTCATCCCTGAGCAGGCATTTGCTTAGATCCCCTATGCTACACAAGTCAATTCAATTCACTTTATTCTTGCATAGACCTAAATCACAACAGAAGTTATCTCGGAGGACTTTACACAACCGTTGAATTTGTCAACACAGATCAGAGAATCAAAGAAATGCAATGGTAGAACACATCAGTATTGGTACATAAGGGGCAGATCACCAATGTCCATAAATGTGGATAAATGTCTTTGAATGTAGAGGGTCCTGGATCATCACCACTGTCCTTTTGTTAGACCCTCCTGCAAAAACCCAGAGGGAAAAGGTAAGAAACCTCTGGAATGCCCTCTGGAATTGAGGAATTCCATGGACGGACGGGCTCGATTCAGGACTGGGGCTAGAGAACAAGGACCAAGTCCACACGGAGCAGGACTCAGGCCGCAGAAGGAGGAGACACACGCACATAAGTGTTTGTGAGTTGTAGTGGGGTTATAGTGCAGAAAAGCACAATAACTGATGCATTATTATGTGTCCACAGACACCTGTTGGTGAAGAAAGTCAAAGCTCAGGATTGCTTTCTTAAATGTGCAGTGCTTGGCGATATTCACATTATCCACAGTTTCCCTGATTAACCTGTTCTTTGACTTTGATGTGTGAGTATGGTTGTCCAGCTACAAATGAATTGGCCGTTGGGGGTAAACATTTATTCTGCATTTGAATAATACATTTTTTTGGCTTTTATGGAGCTCTTATGACACTTTTGAAGCAATACAATTACAGCAATCATGATGTTGATATTTTTCAGTATCCAATCAGGAAAGACAAGAAACTAGACCAAACAAGGAGGTATCCCTGCTATTGTTGGAGGAGACCTCAACAGTGGCAGGACTACAAAAAAATGTAGTAAAATATGTAAGACACGCACAAAACACTAAATAAAAAATAATTAATGTAATAAATATTAAAAAATAAATATATAAGAATGCATAATGTTTATGTGCACATAAATACAGCCAAAATACTGCACTGGGATCCGTGGAGACAGCAGGTGGCAGCATTCAATATTTTTGTTTTATTTATTATTATTGTTTGGTTTTCTATTCTTTTTCAGACATACATAATCACAAACAAACAAATACATTAACACCTACACTAACACTTGCACTTACATATTTCCATGACACTATTTTTTTTGTCATTGCTCTGGAAGTCTAAAATATATATATATACCAATATATTCTGCACTACTATTTTGTACATTGTAATTTATGTTTTGGAATCTGTATCTTATCAGAAAATAGAAAAAGCATCACCTGAGGTACCAACTTGTGTTGCCTGTTTCAACTGTGAAATCCAGCTGCTTTGATGACTAAACTTTTATATACTTTCCTCTATACGCAGGTAAAACCAGTGGAAACATTTGTCTAAATACCAGCTTATACCATACCAGCTGATACAACAGTGTCATTTGTTTATTTCTGGTGTCAGGCCTATGCTCCTCACACGTAAACTGTGCACACAAACACCTTACAGCCTCCACACTTTCATATGTTAAACGCTGTGAGACTTTCAAAGACCCAGCACCACAGTGCAGGCAGACAGAGGCTGCAGCAGACAAAGCCCTGTCATAACCCAAGCTGCACTCGAGGAAGTAATCACATCTTTGACTACAGAGACTGTATTATTTACAACAGGGACAGAGGGGAAGAGACAGGAAGCAGATGAAACAAAAAGATGTTTCTTTAAACGTTATATTACACTGCAAACATAAGAATAAGCCGTGTAACGAGCGCTCGACAAAAGTATCTGCATTTACGTTTACTTCCCTTTGGTCTTAAAATAAGATTTACAAGCGAAAAACAGCAGTAGCCAAGATTATAAGGTTAATCAATCTAAAAAAATAAAAATAAAAAAAATGCTACCGATCTCTTTAATTAAATTAACTATCATTAACATGAACTTAAACAGTTTTAGCTCATTATAATGTTGGTTACTGCTTAAAATGACATAATGACAAAATATATTGTGAAATGAAGACAGTCAGCAGCGATCTTAGGCACTCTGAAACACTACGTTTATATCGCAGTTTTTCCAGGTCAAACAAAAGGAGACAAAGCTTTTTATATGATTTGTATCAATGTGCAAAGAACAGAAAATGTCATCACTTTAGATATAAAGACAAGATAAAGACTAAACTTTATTGATCTCACAATGGATACATTTACATGTCACATTTGGCACTCAGGTTGGGAAAAAAACAGAAAATGTGTAAACATGTTAAGGTTCAAAAATAGTCTCGTGCAAGACATATTATGTACAATAAAATAAAATAAATGACTCATGCTTAAGATATAGATCGGTTAGTAGTGTTTGACAGAACAAAATACGTTCAGTTCTTGTAATGTTTCTGCAGTAACACAGAAAATACAGTATATAATATATAGGTCCATTATACATTATGTTTTGTTTGTTTTAGTAAGATATATATTGTTACTGATACATACTATACTATATTATGTGGCTTCTTCGTCTTCTGAGTAAATGCATTCCTTCAGTTAAATCATATTACATTTTTTGTGGAGTTAAGTATTGTTATATGGAAAACATATTTATTTAAATATTTTTTAACTGAGTGGCAATAATTGTTAACCTGTGCTGTTTTTTTACAATATTAATTTGTTGATTGATTTAGCTATGGAATTATTTTTGATAAGACATAATAATCCTACAGCCTATTCTTACAATGTACTAATGAATTAGCTTCATCGTAACTGTTCGAACTAAAATCAGTGGTTATAAAGTGAAGTTTAGGTGTAATAGTAGCTGCACGCAGGGCTTTGTTGACAGCCCCTCCTCCCTCTCCCTCATGTGGAAGTGGCAGTCTTTTCTCCCCTCCTCCTGTTCTTCTGTCTTTCACCCTATTGTGCTGTTTATGACCCCCGCAGACCCCTGTTCCCACACCACCTCAGACGCCGAGCGCAGTCACATCTCAAGACCCTACAAAGATATTACAAAATACTAATGCTACTCGATACAAACCTTATAGGATCTATAGTCAATTATAGTTGAAATATTAACTTTTACAAATAATTATACATCAACAAATATAATGATAATAATGATAATATAATGTCTTGGTGATTACTGTGATGTTATAAGAAACATCACAGTAATAAAGGCCATGACCAAACATCCCTGTGATCTTAAAAAAACACCAGGATTATAGAGTTATCTTGGCATTCTTATAAATTGTAATTATATATATTTGCAAATGCATGCTAATTCATGCACAGCACATAAACCCTCTATTTCAGGGCCATGTTTTAGCATTAGGGGTCTCATGACCACAAGGTCAGAGGTGAATCCAAATAACAATGTTTGAGTGGAACTTTGATGCAGCCTGAATTCTGAATGCAATTGTACCAGACTGGTGCTGGTGCACACACACACACGCACACGCACACACGCACACGCACACACGCACACACACACACACTGTGACACACAGAAACACACGCGCTGTCCCAAGGACTACAGCTCTGGACACAAAGGGCCTGTCTTGAGGGGGCAAAGGTCTTCTGGGAGAGGTCAGATAAAACCCCAGGCTTTTTACTTTGGCCCGGGCTGCATACCAAATGTACACACATTCTCACACATGCAAACACAAACCGCATGACACAAGCTCAACCTACTTATTTCAAACAAGAAACAGCAATGTAAATGCACATAAAACATAACTCATGAGTGCTGGGTTGATAATGGATGCTTTCTCCACAGTAGAATATAAAGAGCACAGAGGCAGCACTGCACCAGTCTGATCTGCTCTCACAGAGCACTGGGAGAGGCCCATCACTGACCACTGACCCACAGCAAATGCTTATTTGTTGTCTTTTTGACAGCCGATGGATCAATGGCCTGCCAGCCAACTGCTCACCATAGCTTTAAGTAAGACATTCAATGGCACCAAAGCATCCAACCCCACAAGGAGCTCAGCCATCCATGTCAAGTGGGAGAAATCCCGATTATGTTTATCTGTTGAGTTATCATGGTGCTGTCCTTGGGAGTTATATGCACATCTCTATCTTCAAACTTTTGTATTGTCTACTCGTGAGTTACTGTCTAGACATGTAGCCTACTGTAAGTGGTTTGAAGAAAGCAACAGACACTATGGAGAATAATACGCTAATTATCCGTGTTTTGGCTTGAGTTTGAATCTAAAAAGTAGACTACTAAAATAAGACCTTTGATGACGTTTGCATGAAACAAATATATTAAGACTCTCTCACCTCTGCGTCTGCGGCTTCTTCTGTTCAGGAAGAGTGTGCGAGTGGATGCAGCATGTCAGCAGTGTTTCTCCACAGTCACGACTGAGAGCAGCGTGTGTCATCACCTCTGCTCCCCCTGCGTGCGTGTGCGTGTGCGTGTGCGTGTGCGTGCGGGGCCGGCCCATCCATGTTCCTGACCACCACCTCTCTATGGTCCAGGCTCAGCCGTGGTCTTCCTCACCAGACTTCAGGTCAGCTTGTCCTCAGTCTGCCGCTGCGGACGCAACAGAAAAAAGAATATTATTGATGCAATGTTGTTCAATCAGCCACGTGTCTCTTTTAATGGCAAGAGCAGCTCGGTAGCTACTACTAACTACTAAACAGTCGGACCGTTGACTACTTTATTGATTTGTGTAAATAAACTCATTAAATGAAATTAAAATCCATAAAGTGCTATGCCGAAAATGTGTGAGAAAGAGTTTTTTTCTGCCGAGACCAGGAAGGTACTTACACAGTGGCTCCCCCTACCGACCAAATTACTGTAATGCCAAGGGGAAATTATGTGGTTTAGCTATTTGCTCTATGAGTATACCACTCCATGCGTATGCATTAGAACTGTTTGTTAATTCATATAGAATACTAATAATAATGATACTCAAGAGCCCACGAGCATTACGTTTTCTGTGCTGCTGGAAAAGTTAGGCCTATCTTTCCTCTGTCAATGCTCTTTTATAATAACATGAAACAGACCTTTACATAAAACAGGTCTTCACACTCCTTCCTAATTACATCCTGCATGATTTCCACTGGCAGTCACATACTTTATCATTTCTGCTGCCCCAACTGGGCAGTACCAATCTGTACAGTGGCACAGCCACACCACACTGACACAACAACCCCTGATGGGAGAACAGGTGTTGGACAGGGTCCAGTGGAGCACAGCAGAGACGGCTGCCATCATATTTTAGATGGACCAGCAAGAACTGACTCCGCTTGCCCAGGGGAAAGAGGCATGGTCATCTACATCTGAAAGTCTTTCAGCGATCAATCAACTTGTCTTAATCGATTGTTTTTTTTTTTTTACAATAAACCTTTTGAGTTGTTTATATTGCAACACAAAGTGAACAAATGGATCTATGGTTAATTTTACTGTCAAAATGAAACTTGGTGTGATGTGCTAAACCACTCTGGAGTCATAGCAGCAGAGGATAGAGGATTCTTACAAAGTGATTCCTAATAATATCCCAAATATAATATTTTATGTACTGTGGCTATAGCCACAGCGCTTAACTTATGGTGTAAAAATAGTTAGGCCCATTCATTTTAGTAGAAATACTTCACTTCGCTTCACGACACTGAGTGCTGTCTGTAAAACATGTCTATTTGAATGTTTCCAGCTGAGAGGAAAGGTATTGCTACTTCAGATAATGACGGCCAGGTCATTTGGCTGGGAATAATGGTGAGGCATATCGCTGTCATTAGCTTTATAGACACAGGGCCGCAGAACAGTAGATGCTCAGACTGGACACACACAAACACACACACACGTTCATATTCACATCCATTATGTCCCTTTGAAAAGAGGCCTCATTGGAGAGAAGCAATAAAAAATTTAATCATTTTATTACCAAAAGAGTATTTAACAAGTGGGTAATGAAACGCCAAAGGCAGGTTAGCTGAGTTTAACCTTCATAGAGAAAGCCATGTATCACATGCTGCCCTCAGGCATGTTAAGACAGAAATGTCATCCTCCATTATCCACCATACCTGAAGTGTGGCACACCATGGCTGGCAGGCAAGCGTCTCGCTCTGCGAGGCCAGGCTGACGGGAAATTAGGGGGAATTCAATTAATGCAGATTTTTTTACGTACCAGGCAGAGGGCAAAGCAGCGCACACGCACACACAATAGACAGACTGCCTTACATTTACCTCAGAGCGTGTCTTCCATACTGTGATGGGCTGCTCAGAGCATCAGAAACACATGTCTCCCCGCCGGTTTACAACTGCAGATCACACGTTCCTCTGTTCTGTTCTCTTCATACTGCAGCTGGGGCCAGAACACCCTCGTGCAGCTCTCCTGAGGTGATGGCTGGAGTCGCTCGGCTGATTTCCTCCGCGGGTCAATTAAGGAGAAAATGAGGCTGTGAGGAACATTCTGTCTGTTACCATAAAAGAACCATACAGGTACTGCTCCGATGCCAAGTACTTGTATGATATGAAATAACAATTCTATATCTGTGCACAAGGGAGACACAAAGAGAAGCCAAATATGTTAGAGGCATCAGCATTCTTGGACTCTTTTACAAGGATGATGCAGGTACAGCTTACACTGTGTTTTACATTATTAAACTTAATATGTTTTGACTGATAACACAAAACTGAATACCCAATAACAAGCACCCACAGGTCTTGTGGGGACTGGCCCCAACTTAATTGAAAAGTGTCCTGGCTCTCATTAGCATAAAAAACACATTTAAAGGTGAAAAATTATAAATAAATATGCAGCCACCTGTGAAATATGGGTTATGGCCTGCTGGTCATTTATAACTTTGCCTTTAATTATGTGACAGGCTGGTTCTCCACGGCTGTAATGAGAGCCAGGAGTGATGGAGAGGAGCTCGTCACAGACATGGGGCTATAGGTCATTCAGAGCAGGAAGATGCAAACATCACCAGCAGATGGACAGACATGACATGACCCACAAGATGGAGTGGAGGCCATCTCCATAATGTAAGCTGAGAATTCCATTGTTAAACTCCTCAAATTGTTAAATCGTTTTGCTATTGTCAAACTTCATTTGACAAGTTGATAGAACAGTTACATAGACACACTGTCTCCACAAAACATTATCTTACCGGCATAGAAGGTAGGACTGTAATTTGTCCAAGGAGGAGCAGTCGAGGATGGAGGTGCAAAGACCCACAGTCTTAGCTCTGTGTGGGGAGAGGAGGTTTGTGAGGTAGAAGTCCAGTGGCGGGCCTTGCATTTCAGAAAGGCGCCTACAGTGATGCCCTACCCTACTTAATTCACCTTAATCCAAACCATAATTATGATGCCATGGCTCTACACTCGCATTTAGACCAAAAAGGGCGTTGCATTTCCTCAAAATATAGTCAAGTACCTGTGCAACAGTGTTAGTCTACTGAGTTTTATTCACTCATACAACAGTATGAGCTTTAACAAGTTTGTTCACAAAACAGCGAGGAGCACACTATCAAATCAAATCAATCAATCCGTCGCACTCAGAGCAGCGTCACACAAGCATGACGATAAAGATGAACAATTCACTGGGAGATAGTTTGACGCTTCCTGACGCCTGCAGCTTTCCTTAAAAAGTTTTTCTTGAGATTGACATTATCTACAACCAAATCGTTATCTTAGCCTCCTTCAGCCATTGTGGGTTGAAATAACTAAAATAAGTAATCGCGCCACACATATTAGAATTTAACTTGGTTCTGTTCAACACAATGTCTCTACTGGCCCTGAGGGAAGCCAACTTGACGCTGATGGGCCAGCTCTGCAGCCTCTGAAGGCCTAACAGCAGATTTTGAACTATAAACGTCAGCCTCCAAATGTCGACCTGGGGCTGGAAGCTGAGAAACAGACCCATCGATTCAATGAAAAGTATAGATTATGGGGAATTGTATACATATTTGTAGAAAAAAATATATATAGTACCACATAGTAGTGCAGAATAATTTTTTTAGACATCCAGAGCAATCAACCAAAGAAAATAATACTTAATAATAATACAAATAAAATAAAGTACATAAGAACAAGATAAAACATTTTCAAACATTTTCAAACATGTTCTTTACAAGGACAGCAAAGCAAGAGCAGCTCGTGCAAAAGTCTTGTTACAGCTTATTACACCGTCATTATGTAAAGTATTGTGCCTTGTGTGACTTGTAGTTTTGTAACCTTCACCTGACTCACACGTAAGCAACGGTCTTAAAAACAGTTTGGTTTTATTACCGTTTTGATTACTGCTACACTGTTTGGTCATAGAGTTCCCACAGAACATTGGCAAAAAGACTTCCTCACAAGGCGGGTTAAACTTTGAGTCGTTCTTACTCGGTGAGTAGAGGATTTTTGGATGAAAAATATATTTTTTGCGCAGTGGGAATGTTCTAGCCTGGTCTTACCATATCATATCATTCTAATTTCATTTTGTACATGTAGTGAAATAATAATTGACCGGAGTTTACGGATGGCTATGGTCAAGGCTAGGAATGACCCACATGCTTTGCACAAGCATCAGACACTTTCACCATTTGAAAATAAGTGCTTTATGGGACACTCATTTTTTACAATGTGTCACTGTGTGTTTGGCACTTTACAGCTGCAGCAGCCTCACTGTGGCACCTGATGGTCCCAGCAAAGACCTCTGGGACCTCTGCGGCTATAAAGTGACAAACTATTGTTGTGTGCTTAGGCAAGACACTTCACCCACATTGCCTAGAATGAGTCTGGTGTGTGTGTGAATGGTTGGTGGTGGTTGGAGGGGCCGATGGCACATACTGGTTGCCTCGCTTCTGTCAGTGTGCCCCAGGGCAGCTGTGGCTAGAGTAATAGAGCCATATATATAGTACAAAAACTATAAAATGTAAAGTGCTATATTAAACATATTTTTATCATATAAAAGATAAACATGTTTTCATCTAAAGTTGAGTTACGTTGGATAGGGATGGTAGTTTGTTAAACACTGACCCCCTAACATGAAAAATGTGAAAAGAAAAGAATACACAACATTTAGCATCTGTTTATAGTTGCAAGCTTCAGAGATTACTGTATAGAGCGCTCTCTGTCTCTCTTCTGCATAAAGAAAACAGCTTGCTTTGCCCTGCAGGTAGGTAGAGGAGCGCTGTGCTTTCTCTTTCACCTTCACTCCTTCACTGCGGTCACTTCCCGGTAGAGCCACTGTATTTCCCTCCATCTCTCAGCCAGGACCAGAGCTGAGCAGTGGGCATAAGGGAGCACACACACATCTCGGCCCGCTTCAGTAAGTCCCTATTATAAGCAGGGCAAGGCGATATTCCAGCTTTTCACCCCCCAGAAATATTACAAGATAGACAAGCAAGCGGGGGCTAATCCCTGGGATGAAATTAGCAGCAGAGGGGT